ATCGTAACATTGGTATCGGAGCGGATTCTACTTGCTGGCGAGAGTTGACTTTGCTGCCATAACCCTAACCCTAGTGGTAAGGGCTAACCACTTAGGGTTAGGGCTGGAAGTTAGGGTTAAGTGGGGCAGCGTGGTGAAGGGACTGCTCCCACCTGGTAGGGCCGTGTAGGGTCGACACTAGACCCGACCAGGTTGCGTGAGTGCATGTTTGTGGTGGCGAGACACAAGGTGGGACTTCATGATGCAATTTGAGAGAGCCGACAGTGAAGGGCAGCTACAACTTGAATTTGGACTTCAAGGAAGACACGGCGTGACTTTAGGGTTCCCCTCAAGTCAGGCGAGCTTGAGGGTGGCAGCCATATCTGCACCTACGGACTGCAAGTTGCTGCTTTGATCTTCAACATTGACGGGGGATCTGACTTCGTACTCTAGGGTAGATGTTGACCCTCCTAGATGATAGGACACTAGTGTAGAGGATGCTAATTGGGTCAGGAGGACTATGTGAGAGGGGGGTGAGTTCTTCTTCATCTCAAGAGCCCGGCCACTCAGGTAAGTGTTGTGCCACCAGGGTGCCCATGTGTGTGTGCATGGAATTGACTGCCTGTTAGGGTTCTCTGGGTTCTTCTTCCATCCTCCATAGTCTTGATTGTGTGTGAGGTGTGTGAACTGCCTACTTGCCTGACGAGTGAATGAATGGAGTATATTGTTTGCCATGTGATATCTCTCTACAGTGCTTTGTTTATTTCATTATGAACGATTGTAGTCTACAGGTTCTTTCTGGGGTAAAATTTCGTTTTTCAATTTGGTAGGGACAAAGTAGGTCTTTGTGGAACTCTTGTTGGTTGGGACCCAGTTCTGACTCCACTGGGACCGTTTGGGACTCAGTGGGACCGGGCCCAAACAAGAAGAGCCCCTCAGGCCAAATCTGTTGACGTCAGTTACCTTGCTCTATCTGATAAGGACTCGGACTTTATGGTTTCGGACCAGGACACTCGCTACGGAGGGGATCTCCGCTGGGACGTTTTATCAGACTTTACCGCACGATCTGCCGCATGACTCGCACCTTGGACACCACTCAATTCTCTCTTGCATTTCGCTGTACATCCTGAATCTGATTTGTTGTGTTTTCACGGAGCTGAGGCCGGCTAGGCTTGAGAGGACCTCATACGTAGTCGGTCCAGACGGTGTGGCTGGATCAGATCTCTCTGATCTTTATTTCTTTTTTTGTTGTTTTGACTGCTCTCTAGTCCAAATGAATTGCCGCTTCGGCTAGGAGTTCTACCTTCTCTTCTGACTGACTTCAAGCTATTTCTTTCATTGGGTTCCTTAATGCCTGTGTCTACACGATCGCAAACGAGAGAGAGAGAGAGAGAGAGAGAGAGAGAGAGAGAGAGAGAGAGAGAGAGAGAGAGAGAGAAGCTTCTCACTGTTGCTCTTGAGGGAGTGCGGAGAGGGAAGAGGAGTGTTCGTCCCAGACAAGTAAGGAAGTACGGACCTCTCTTGAGAGACTTATTGATTCCTTCGTCCTCCATCATGGCATCTGCAGTAGATTGGAAGCTGCAAATGGACGCTGCCCCTGAGGCAGAGAAAGCGCAGTACCGATTCTTCTATGAGAAAGCATTGAAGAGGGAGGAGGAAGAGAAAGAGAAGGAGAGGGAGGAGAAGGTAAAGGCTCATGAAACCATTTTTTGTACCTTGCCTGCCCTAACCGATGAGGAGGTGGGAGAGAAAACGGTTCCACTCCTCCGGGCTTTGGTAGACATCCGGGTTGTTGAGGACCATACTGGCCAACTTGCCAAAGTATTCGATGAACTCAAAAAGTTGCGAGATGACATGGCCCTGATGGCTTAGCAGCACCGTGACCAGCTGCAACAGTTCGCTAATCTGCAGCCAGCCCAAAGTATCCTTCCGCCTGCTTACCCTGCTTCTAGTGTTGCGTGTTAGTCCGTTCTTGCCCCTCTGAATGTGTCTTCTTCTACTTCTTCTTCTTCTTTGAGTGTGACTAACAGCCTATCCGGACCTGCAGCAGGTCCAGACCCCGCTGCTGCTGCAGCAGCAAGTAGTAGTGCAGGGCATTCTGGAACTGTTGCAGTCCCGAGTTCGGACCCAACAGCCGCTGGTCCAAGCTGCAGCTTTTCCTATATGGATAGAAAGGCGGCCCAGATTCCGTCTAAGTATGACGGAAAGGAAGACATCGAATCTTGGATCAGCTCCATGCGATCCTACTTCGATGTGCTGAGGACACTCCCAGTTACTCAGTCGTCGGTCCTAGGGACCAATGTGGAACCCGCCGTGAGAGGATTCTTCGAGATCCAGGCTGTACAAGCAAGCTATAAAAGGATAGACATGAACAAATGGCTGAAGGCTACGCCGGTAGCCACACTCGAAGAGCTCTTGATCAAACAGTATGCTGATCCACATGCTGCAGCCAAGACTAGACTCAAGCTTGACAAGCTCAAGCACAGCAAGTGGACCGGCACCATGCACAACCTGCAACAGTATGTTAGTAAACTCTTTGCTACTCCGGATCTGGAGATGACTCCGCAGTCCTGTCTGGATGTGATAAAAGGTACGGTCCCTTCTACTATAAGAGATCGCCTAGGGCTCAGACTCAGCGCATATACAGATTGGCTAACCCTCATGCGGGACTTAGTCAAGTTGGAGGCACAAGACCTCCCGAGTGGATCAAATGGCAAAAAGACCACCAGCCGCAAACGGTTTTCGGGCAGCAACCGTTTTGCAGCACACGATCTGCTTGAGGCTGACGAGGAGACCCTCGTGGAGGAATCTTCTCTTGATGACGATCAGAAGCAAGACTGCGGGGCATCCTGCTCTTTGTCAGCCCATGAGTCTGAGTATGTGAACGACGATGAATCTATGAATGGCTTAAAAAAAACTGCCTTTAAAAGTAAGGGACCGAGGACCACAATGAAGAACAATACTAACACCATTCTTCTTCCCAAGGGAGCGAAAATTCCACCCAAACCGGAAGATCCTGCTACAAAACCATGGGTAGATCTCCGGATCAATGAAAGTGAGTGGAAACACAGGGTGAAGAAAGGGGTTTGCCTACATTGCACTAAGCCGGGACATTCAGTCCAACATTGTTTCATATTGCAGCAGGGAAACCAACAACGGGGGTAAAGTCATCATCAACACACTCTACAGATGGAGAGGTTGAACATGTAAGTGTAGATCCTTCTTTGGATTCTGATCCCACTCAACAAACCTCCCCTGAGACCCCATCTGATGCTGATTCCAAGGCTGAGAAAATACACATCCTATACAAGGAGCCTTGGGTAGAGTCGGAAGAAATTGACTTCCATGCTCTGTTGACGCGCTGGGCTCACATGAAGCAAGAACGCGCGCAAGGGAGGACGAAGTTGCTCTTCTTCAAACCCTACATTAATGGTCGTTATATCCGTGCATTGGCTGATTGTGGTGCAACCGCCAACTACTTCTCACCGCACGACATTCGTAAGGCACGCTTGGGGATGAAGCAAGTGACTTTGCAGAATCCTTGCCGGACCCAAGTAGGCAGCCAAGAGGTTGTCACATCTACGCATGCAGTCAAAGGTGTGCGCACTACCTTTGACGATGACCGCACGATCACGCATGAGTTGAATTTCTATGTCCTTGATCAGTGCCCCTTCGGCGCGGTTATTGGCTTGGGCTGGTTGCAGGCCCAATGTGAAAGAACCACGTGGAATGACTCACAATTCATAGTCAAAGATGCCATGGGAATCGAGCGTCCAGTCCTCTTGGATGAGCCGCGCGAGTCCCAAGTGACTTTTCTCAATGCAATGCAGTTCTGCAAAAAGTGGCGCAGGCGCAAAGTTGATAAGCAAATGTATATAGCCTTTGTTAGACCTGCTCATGTGCCTTCTATTTTTGCTGTACATAATGATTCTACTTTGCATGCTGTTTCTACTTCTGAGGCAACTACTTCTACCTCTACTAAATCTACTTCTAGTCCAAATGACTCCACTTCCAATTCTGTTGTGTTGGTTGCACCTATGCAATCTGGTATGCTTGCACCCGAGAGTGATGATCCACCTCCGGAGATCCCATCAGAAATTCGCAACCTTCTCAACCGATTTCCAGAAGTCTTGGCCGAACCGTATGGAGTCCCCGTGCGTCCGGCCCGACATAAGATCGAGTTGATTGAAGGTAGCACTCCTCCAAAGGGTTGTGTCTATCGGATGGACTCAGGCGAATTGGAGGAGTTGCGAAGGCAGATTGATGATATGATTGGGAAAGGATGGATGAAACCAAGTGAGTCTGAGTTTGGTGCACCGGTTCTGTTTGTCCCCAAGAAAGGAGGCAAACTACGGATGTGTATTGACTACCGCGGATTGAATCGAATCACAAGAAGAATGCATAACCTTTGCCACGTATCGATGATTTACTTGATGCTGCTGGTGGATGCCAAGTCTTCAGCAAGATCGATCTCAAGTCTGGCTACCACCAGATTGAAGTCGATCCTGCAGACTAGCATAAAACTGCATTCAAAACTCGTGATGGGCTGTACGAGTTTACAGTCATGCCCTTCGGTCTCACGAATGCGCCAACCACCAAAGTCTCATGGATAAGGTATTTCGCAATCAGATCGACCGATTTGTTGTTGTATATCTGGATGACATACTAATCTTCAGCAAATCGATGGAGGAGCACATGAGACACCTTGAGGAAGTGATGCATATCCTCAAGGACGCGCAGCTCCATCTCAACTTGGAGAAATCTGAGTTTGGGAGGGACAGCGTCATCTACCTTGGACATCGGTTGTCTGCTGCAGGCCTAGAGCCCGAGGCAACCAAAGTTGAGGTCATCCGAAAATAGCCTCAACCCGCGAATGTCCGCGAGTTGCGTTCTTTTCTTGGTCTTGCGTCGTACTACCGTAAGTTTGTGCCCAAATTCTCTATCATCGCCCGTCCGTTGTCTAGACTAACAAGCAAGAATGTGTCCTACACATGGAATCAGGAATGCACGACAGCCTTCGACGCCTTGAAGGAGGCTCTGGTGATTCATCCGGTGCTCCGCATTGCGGATCCCAAGCTTACGTTTGTAGTAACTACGGATGCAAGTTTGTATGGGATTGGTGCAGTGCTGCTGCAAGACGATGGTGATGGCCTACGTCCGCTTGAATACTACAGCAAACGCATGCCCAGTCACAAGGTAGCTGCTTCCACTTACATGCGAGAGCTCTATGCCTTGAGAGAGGCACTGGATCATTGGAAACACTACCTCTTGGGTCGCCATTTCAAAGTGTTCTCATATCACGAGACTTTGAAATGGATTCAGACACAGATTAACCCCTCAACCACATTGACCCGCTGGCTGCATGAGATTGATATGTATGATTTTGAGATTAAGCACAAGAAAGGTTGTTACAATCGAGTTGCGGATGCTTTGTCTCGCCACCCTGAGTACATGACTTGCCTTGTGGGTTCCTACGATCTCCGTAAAAATTTGAAGGAGGAACTCATTGACCATACTGCCAAGGATCCGGAACTCAGTCCCATCCTTGAGCAGATTCGGGCTGACCCTAGCAGTCAGCCTGATTTCCATGAATGTAAGGGCCTTCTCTTCCGACGCTACGGGAAGCATGACCAATTGTGTGTGCCCAACCATGAGCCAATTATGACCCACTTCTTGGATTTGGCTCACGGCCGGAGTGGACACTTCGGTGTTGAGAAGACACACGGGAATCTGTTGGAAAAGTTTGTGTGGCCTGGAATGAAAAGAATGGCACAAAGGTTTGTGGCTGAGTGTGAAGTTTGTCAGCGCATCAAACCGTCTCGGCAGAAGCCCTATGGGCTGCTGCACCCTCTTCCTATCCCTGATGGCCCGGGTGAGTCTGTTTCCATTGACTTCACGGACATGGGGAAGAAGACCAGAAACGGTTATACACAAGTAATGGTGATCGTTGATCGTTTCTCGAAATTTCTGAATTTGATCCCCTTGCCACCTCACGCCCCAACTGACCTTGTGATCAATGAGTTTAACAAGAGATACATTCTGCATTATGGCCCTCCAAGGACTCTTGTGAGTGATCGGGATACCAGGTTCATAAGTGCAGATTGGAAAGATTTCACCTCCCAGACCTACGACATGAAACTCAAGATGACGTCTGGTCGACATCCCGAAGCCAATGGACTGGCCGAGGAGATCAACCAGACCGTGATCCAGCTTCTCAGGGCTCTAATTGTACCTGATCAGAACTCTTGGGATGAGGAGTTGCCAATTGTGCAGGGGTTGTGCAACAACTCCATCCACTCCTCCACCAGGATGACGCCTAACCGGCTGCATCTTGGATGGAAAATCCACAACCCTCTATCTTATCTGTTCCCTGAACAGCCACCTGGCCTAACACATGGCCAGCCAGGCTACAACGCTAAGTTTGACCGCCTGCTCAAAGTTGTTGTCGCAGCTATGGAAAGGCGACACAGTGCCATGATTAAACGTGCTAACAAAAAGTGTCAGTGTGAACCTTTCACAGTGGGAAGTTATGTCTGGGTCAAGATGTCTGAGTTTTCTGAAGAAGAAGGCGTATCACGGAAACTTCTTCCTCAGTACTACGGTCCCTGGCAGGTGCTGAATCGAGTAGGTAATGATTCCTTCGGTCCTTCTTACACGATTGATGTGCCTGCTCATCTGCGCACATATCCAGTCTTTCACGCATCGAAGTTGTTTCCGTATGAATCACCCGAAACTTTCAAGTATCGAGAATCGATGATTCCCCGCGCAATCAATGGCGGTCACGAGACTGATAGGATTGTCGAGCACAGTGGGAAGGGAAGAAACAGACAGTACAAAGTCCATTTTCTGTACCACCCGTTGGATGATTTCTACTGGATTGCTAAGGACTTACTGCAGAGTGCACCGCGCGTCGTTAACGCCTATGAACGATTGATAAGTTCTGAACAGCAACCAAAATTCACTGCTACCCTGACTCCTACGGAACACACCCGATCTCTCTTTGCTATCTACGCCTACCATGCATTGTGCAAGGACTCTGATTGAGTTACTCGCTCGAAGGGACCTCACTCTTGAGGGGGGGGTAGTGTAATGAACCGTCAAAACACAGACTGAGAACACTGCTGATTTCTGAAGTTCTGCCGATGGAATGGATGCCTTGCTGAGATTCCCGCATTCTGCTGTGTTTTCTAAGTCTGTCTGTGTGTGCTTGCTTGTGACCTGCGTGCCTGTCTGAGTGCTTGTCGGTATGAGTGTGTGTGTGACCCGCAAGGGTACTTGCTTGTTTGGCAGGCCCGTAGGGCCGGTACTTACTTGTGGCCGTGGCATTGAGGGTTGTAGCAGGGAAAAACACTCAACTGGCGAAGCTAGCGGCCCCGAGGCCACTCAAGTGGGCCGGTAGGCCGATACTGCACCCCACTGCAGTTGGCGTGAGGGGGTACTGGAGGCCGAGCAGAAAAAGACAAAGTTGGCATTTTTAGAGTCCAGTAGCGGTAGGGTAGGTCTAGGCCGGTACCAGTCCAACCAGTCTGAGTCTAGAGCCTGTACGGGTAATATCAGGGCCTGCAATGATGTTTCCCTACGAAACGGAGGAAGTACCGGTTGCTTGGAGAGGCCGAGCGGCCTGGAAGTCACCGCCCAGGAGGCAAGTAGGCCGCTATATCAAGAGGCAGGGCAGAGAGCCCAGCCTCATTCTTCAGTGTGCAAGTTTGGCAACACGCTGCTGGAGCGCTGGCTGTAGTAGCGCTGGGTACTACAGCGCTGCCGGGAGGAAGAAGCCGGGAGCTTCCACCTTGGCTATGGTGGAGCTCTACCGGTAGGAGGAGGGAGAAGGGGACCAAGGAGGAGAGTGGTGAGGCACTTACCTGGCTATGGTAGACACCATCTTCATCTCCTTGCTAGGCGCTGCATCAGGAAGGCCCCAGTGGGGTAGTGCCACATCAAGGAAGCTCGTGACAGAGTCAGGCATGGTGGCTGAGTGGGCAGCGGCATAGCTGCATGGTGATGACCTTGAAGTGGGGCAGCGGCATAGCTGCTTTGAGTTGTCCTTTGGACAGGAGGCTGAAGCCTCAGTAATCCACCATAGCCTCGGTCTGTATGTAGAGGAAGAAGAAGGGTTGCCATGACTATGGTGGACCTCATGTTGTGCCTGCAGTAGAAGTGGGATTCGGACATTGATTCTGGTTCAGTCATTCAACATTATTATTGTTATTTCTTATTTGAATAAGAGGGAGGAGATAAGGAGGAAGGGATTGGTTGGCGAAGAAGAAGAGCCTTGACATTGGTCTATGCTGGAGTGCATCATCATCTTCTTCTTTCTCACTTCTTCTTCTTCTTCTTTCCCTCTCTTTCCTCTCAAGTTCATTCATTTCTTTTTGCAATTGGGTGGCCTTGTACTTTCAGATGAATGTATACTTCGAAATAGGCCAGGATCGTAACACAACAGTTAATGAGTCTGGACAGTAACTTCAGTACTTAATTCTGATCCGGCAGCCGAACAGCTGAGAGGAGTAAGCTAGTCAAGACCTACGCAGACACACCACAACCCACAAACAGAATTAGCAGAACCCAGCCTACCTACAGGGTCAGGTCCTAAGTTCAAGCAGGCTAACTTAGGCAGGGGTGAGGGGTGGTACATCCTTCCAAAAGGAAGTAATCAATGCCGTGCACTCGGGCCTCGCAGCCACAATGGGGAGGAGCGTATGTGTATCCTTATTGTATTCATCATTGACTTGCCGGGGGAATAGGAACCGGACTGTTGCTCCCCAGAATGGTAGAAGAAAAAAAAAAAAAAAAAGTCAGAGAACTCTTCCGCTGGAACATTTCTGGCTGCTCACCGCCCTTTGGGTGTTGGCTGCAGGCTTGGGTAGAGAACCTGAACACCGTCCTTGATGACAATCGAAAGCTCTGTCTCAACAGTGGAGAAACGATTCCTTTGTCGGATCAAATGACTCTCATATTTGAGGTAATGAACAAACACTCTGCAACTCACATCGAAGAAATGATTTTTATCATTTTTTTCTCCTTCTTGTCTTTTGTTTCCACCTTCTTTTTTGTCCGACCGAACAGCTCTGAATCCTCTGATATCTTCTGAGGTTAGTTGTTCATTTCGTGTGTTCCCTTGTTGTTGTAAAATACAGTTAATAGTACTAAATACTATATTAGTATATTTCCAAATTGCGGATGTTTCAACCATTTGGATCCAAAGCATTTAGCGATTCATACTCTTGCTCATAGCTTCATTGGCTGAATATAGTTGTATTTGACACTTCTATCGTCATGCGGAAGTGGTGGGGCCATACTGTCTTTCACTTCACGTGGCTGGAACTGTACCTTTTTCCTTCTTTTTTTTTGTGTGTGTTTTTGCGCTGCCACCGTACCTTAACTTTCAAGAGAAAAGAAAACCCAGTCCTTTGAAATTGACGCAGATAGCAGCAGCCTTCTCCCCCGAGGAGGCATCACGGTGTCGGGTCTGCCTTCCATTTTGCTGAGTGTCGAATCCACTGGTGGGGAGCTGCACCTGCTCATGATTGGGGCCAGCATCCAATTGAAAACAGAAAGGGGTTCTGGACCCTGGGAGGCTGGGAGGCCTCTTCACCCAGCTGGGGGCCCCTAGATAACGCAGCAGTTTATACAAACCTTCTACTCCCTAGCCTCTCTACTCAGCATGCGTTTCTAAAACATAATAGATAGCAGGAGGGAGGACTACTGTCTTCGCCCAAATAGAACATCCGGTAATTATCACCGTATTTGGACTTAAAGTTGCACCGAATACAGCTATAATGACTGGGCATTGTATTCGAGCGAAGACGGTAGTCCCCCAGCCAGCTTAGCTCCGCAATAGAGAGGTGGTGGGAGGGAAGGCGAGCGGGAAGTCTGTGAAGGGCGCAAGGGTTGGAGGGGGTCTGGGAAGTCCGTCAAGGAAGAAGGGGTGAGAGATCGTCAGCCCTGTTTCAGTCATGGTACCGGTGGTGGGGCAGTTCTTCCCTTACTCTGATCTCAGCCAACCCTACCAGTCATGTCCGTGGTTTCCCTTTGGCGAGGAATGTAGAGTCCGGTCGTATGGCTTCGTGGACCAGATTTCCGGACTTCCTACCATTATTGTCGGCAGACAGTCGGCTAGGACTGGTGGTTTGGTGCGAGTGAAGTCTACAACTTTTTCTCTCGCAAGGGTATCATTAACTTTGGGCAGGATGGTGAGTCCTTATCCACCAGTCGAATGCATTTTGGGCAAACTTGAGACTTCTGAGGTTGAACCTCCTGATTATTGTTTAGGTCAAAGTCTGACGAAACAATCTGTCACAGTCAGCCTTCTTTGTGGAGCAGCATTCCACAGCTGCTTCGATTTTGGATCTACTCATCTGGGTGGAATCGGGGCTGGTGTGGTGAAAATTCAAAACACTGATGATGTTTGCAACCAAATCTGAAGGATTGGATGAGTTTGCCGACCTCCAGTGCTGTCCTAACCTTTCCCTCAGATACTTGTCTACCTCTCGTCTTCTCTGACCACTATCTTTCCGTTTCGTTCTCTCTCTCTCTCCCTCCCTCCTTTCCTCTCCTACCCTCTCTTTCGCTCTCACTCTGTTGTCAATAAATGGAGAGTTCATTTGGAAAATATTCTTCCTTGGGAATGTGTGAGGAGAATCGTGCATAAGGATAGGCATGAGATAGGGTCATTGGCTATCATCATGTGAGGTGCAATGAACCACTTATATCGACACCCCAAGCATATGTTCACACAAAATTCACACCACAGTCCAGAGATGGAGAGACCAGATTAGTGCAACTCATAAACTTCATTGAACGTTCATATTATACAGAGCCAGAGTTGAGTCACCAAGCGCTCATCAGCACAACATCATATTATACAGATTCAGAGTTTGAGTCACCAGGCTCTCATCAGCGCAGTATCCAGCAGCTACAATCACGTATGCAACTGTCTCTCTCTCTCTCTCTCTCTCTCTCTCTCTCTCTCTCTCTCTCTCTCTCTCTCTCTCTCTCTCTCTCTCTCTNTCTCTCTCTCTCTCTCTCTCTCTCTCTCTCTCTCTCTCTCTCTCTCTCTCTCTCTGTGTGTGTGTGTGTGTGTGTGTGTGTGTGTGTGTGTGCTACTATGAGGATCACAACCCTGGATACATCCGCCTCCTACTCATGCCGTACAACTACTACTACTACAGCGGCTATGGCCGCCTGTCTTCCACAGCATAGCGCTGCCCAGCAGGGCTTCTTAGCGCTCAGTCCACTTGCAATAGCGCACAAGCACCAACAGCGCTTCCACCTTCTTGCGAATGAGCAATCTGTTCCAGTGAGGCTGGGCCAGTCTTCTTATTGACTTGAACTGGGCCTGCACTTCATATGGCCTTTGCTTGACTTGGCCTGGGCCTGACTTTCACTGGTACCGGTCGCCCGCGGCCTGTTTGCTTTTGGAATATTGAGGCCCGGTAGACTTTCCTTGGAGCGCTGCTGCAATTTGACTGTGGGACTGGTCGTGAGGCCGGGTACTGGTTGAATTTTGATCTTTGTGGCCTGCAGGGTACCCAACTCGACACTTTTTCTGTTTTGCCCATCTCGGCCTCTTTTGACTTGGGGACCTTGACTCTAGGACTCGGATTTGGGGTCTGCAAAGTGAAAATGCCTTTCAGAGGTGGAGGTCTGGACAACTTGCTTGCTGGGGGTACAAATGCATATATAGCCATGCACCCATCATCAGACACAGACACTCCCACATGCTAAAGCCTCCGGAGAACAATCCAGCTGAGCCTTCCCCCTCTTCCCCCCTGGCTGTACATGGCCAGGCAGCGTCCCTTCCCTGTGTAAATCGGACAGATTCTAGCACGGTTAGTCAAGGGGCCTCTCCAGAGGTTGGTGGCTGTGTCATGCCATTGTGTCTCCACACAGCGACAGTTCAGTTAGCATGCACACCGCATAATCTCTGCTCCAAACACTATGAAGGAATGGTCACTGCCAGCCTCTGCCATGAACACTGCGACCCATTGTCCTGCACTCATCCCCCCCACCCCCTTATTACCAGCCTGATATGCCGTTGCGGCTTTGGCACGCCATGCTTAAATAGCTGCGAACGTCAGCCTGATTTCCTGCCATGTCAGCAACATG